CGGGGCCGGCGCGGGAGGGCGGGGGCGCGACAGGGGGCGGGTCACGGCAGAGCCCGCGCTCGGGGGCGGCGGAGAGAGGCAGCGCGGCCTGCTCGACGAGCCGAGCACCAGCGCAGGTCCTTTGTCCCCGGTTTGTCACCGGCTGCTGCCGCCCCGTTCTTGCAGCCGGCGGTGTGCCCTCGCGTTGCACCCACGCCAGCGGAATCCTGGGATGCGTTCGGAAGAGCGCTGCCAGCGGGTCGATGAGGTGATCCTGCCCCTGTAGTCAGCCCTAGCGAGGCGGTATCTGAACTGCTGTGTTCAGATCTGAGCTGCACAGCTCAGGAAAAACACGGAGGTACTGGAAGAGGTCCAGAGGAGGCCACAAAGGTGATCTGGGGTCTGGAGCAGCTCTCTCATGAGAAGAGACTGCAGTAGCTGGGCCTGTTCAGTCTGGAGAAGAGACGACTGAGAGAGGATCTCATTAATGCATATAAGTGTCTCAAAGAAGGGTATTGAGAGGGTGGTGCCAGACTTTTCAGTGGTGCCCAGCGATAGTATGAGGACCAAAGACCATAAACACAAGAAGTTTCGCCTCGGCATGAGGAAGAACTGTACACCGAAGGTGGCAGAGCACTGGAGCAGGCTGCTCAGGGAAGTCGTCATCTCCCTGCCTGGGGGTATTCAAAACCCACCTGGACACGTTCTTGTGTCACCTGCTGTAGGGGACCCTTGCCTTGGCAGGGGGGTTTGAATAGATGATCTCCAGAGGTCACTTCCTACCCCAATGATTGTGTTATACTTCCAGTACCTTTTAAGTACTTCCTGAGCCTGTACGTGGTTTATGTTTGCTCCTGGCAGGATCTCAGGGTCTGACCACCTGTCATGTGGGGTCCAACGCAATTTAGCTGGCAGTCCCATTTTGGGAACTGTCCTGTGCGTCTCTTCTATGGCGTGGAATCATGGGGAGCATTCCTGCTGCTGCCCAAGGACACAACTTTGATAGGTGACCTCATCTTTATCTAGAAGTATCCCAAGGGAGGGTGACAAGGTTCCACCTGAACATGAGGAAGAATTTCTTTACTGTGCTGCACACTGGAGCAGATTGCCCAAAGAGGTTGTGGAGTCTCCCTCACCTGAGAGATTAAAGAACTGTCTGGATGCAATCCATGTCCTCAAGGATCATGTCCTGCTTGAGCAGGGAGGTTGGACCAGATGTCCTTCCAGCATGACCTATTCTGTGATTCTGAGTGATTCTGTATGCACAGCTCCCTGAAATGGTAGCTTTGACAATAGGTCTGCCACCTGTGATATGCTGTATCCAAAGACTTCTCCTGGGGAGGAGGATTACATCTCTGCTAAGGTGGAACAAGCAGGAACATCACCGCAGTGTTTGACCTTTCCTAGGAAAGCAGATATGGGCTTGATGCTGTAAATATTCACCACAAAAATGCTCAGCTCATTAGAGAGCACCTGCTGTTCTTAAAGCTAGAAATGAGTGTGCCTCCTGTGTGGCTGGTCTCCCCTGCCTGTCTCCTTTCTGCGTTAATAAATGCTTATAATTTCCATCAGTTGTGGCTGGGTCCCAAATCTGCTTCCTAAAAAAAAAAAAAAAAAAGGCCACCTCTTTGCAACTCATTAGAGCCCAGCCTCTCAGCATTGGAGGCTGGGAGTCAACTCCTCAGATCCTGACCTTAGAAAATTGTGGTGGATTGACCTGATGGTCGTTGACCACCAAGCTGCTCTATCACTTCCCCTTGCCAGGTGGATGGAAGAGAGAGAATAAGATGGAAAATGACTTACTGGTTGAGATCAGACAGTTTACTAAAGCAAAAGTGAAAATTTGTGCATGCACAGGCAAAGAGGAAGAAAATTTTACTGTTTACTTCCCATCCACAAGTTATGTCTGGCCATTTCCTGGGGAGTGGGACTTCAGGATGCACAGAGGTTGCTCTGGAAGGCAAACTGTATAAAGTGAATGCCACTTGTTCCTCCCTCAGCTTTTGTATCTGAGCTGGCATCATATGCCACGGAATTTTACTTTGGTCAGTTTGGCTCAGCTGGCCTGGTTTCGTCCCCTCCCAGGATCTTGCTCAGCCCCAGCCCCCTTGATGGAGGAAGGAATGTTGGAGAGACAGGGCTGATGCTGTGCCAGCACTGCTCAGCAAGAGCCAAAACACTGGTGTGTTACCAGCACCTTTCCAGCCATCGATGCAAAGTGCAGCAAGGTGAGGGCTGCTGTGGGGGAGATGAACTCCAGCTCAGCCAGAGGCATTGCACAAATATAGCAAGAATGGTACACAGAAGCTTTTGTCACCTTTTTTTTTCCTGACTCGAGAAGAAAGCTAGTCCTCTGACACCTGTCACTAGAACTTAAGGTCTGTCTTGGGACTGGCCCCGGAGCTTCAGGGAGACGTGAGCAGCTGCCCCCGTGCCACCTGCAGGAAGCAGGGAGGGAGCTCGGGAACGGGCGCCACGCTGGCTGCTTCTAGAGCTGCCCCAGGGACGCCTCGGCTGGGGCATCTTGCCAAGATGCTCCTTTCAGAGATCATGTGTAGCATCGCAGAGTTTGGGACAAAGGCGCAGTGCGGTGGTCTCTCTGAGCACCCCCAGAACAGCAGGAGAGGGGTTCTACGGAGCAGCTTTATCCCTTCGAGGGTATGGGGGGCTCGGCAGCGCCGGG